TGCTAATCCTGTGAGGATGTACGGCTGTTGCTCAGCCTGCATGACCTTCTCTCATCCTCTCTTCTTCCCTCTCTGCTCTTCTTCTTCTTCTTCTTCCTTTGTCTACATATTCTGGCAGGTCTCCTGCATTTTGCCTGAACAAAGAGCCAAGCCAAAAACATCCTCCTCTGCATCGCTCCCTGTGGTTCTCCCATCCTTCATCCCTTCCATCTCCCTCCATCTTCCTCTCTCTTTCTAATTGACTTTGTCGGCTTACTTTCTTGCACCCTGTGGTTTTTCTGCATTTATTCTCATATTTCCTCAGTTTTACTTTATTGCAGTATTAATTTTTTTTTTTTTTTATATCTACAGCCCTTTTCACCATAATAACAGGTTCTTGGTCTCTGCCATACTGTATAGTCATATACCACGGCCAGAAGATAAAGACTGGTCCAGTAATACACAAGCACTGACCAAATAATTATCTCTATCTGTTCATCTTGTGTTCTTTACACAAATAGACAACTGCTTAATCTGGAATAAAAATAAATACTTCAGAACAGTAAGAACAAATCTGCACCTACTTAAGTGTATGAACTCTCAACAAAGAGCATCTGATTTGTAGACTTTCAAGTCTTTGATTTGTAGTGTCAGACCTCAGTGTTTCCTAGTTTTGAGGTACGGGAGGTTTCAGTCTTCATTAAGTGCAATCAAGCTGTGTGTTCATGATTGAGTTTTTATTAGGGTGCGCGAATGTGTCGGTTAAGGTAAAAATTAGTGTACGCCAGACAGCCTCACTCCTTTACGCTAATCTAGCCTTCTTCTCCACCACCTTCTTCACTGCAACATCCAGCTCCAGCTGTCCCTCCTGGGGTATCATTACCTCCTCCACCTGGCACCCCCCTGTATGAATGAGAGCTATCAGACTGGGCTTTTCTCCCTCCCTCCATCAAACATGCCCTTTCAGATATCTGACGTCACACAAAATGAAACCACACACGCACACAGGCTTATAAAACATGGCACTGGGAAATGCTTCTTTGCATTGGAACAAAGGACAAAGGAGCTGAATTTGACATTGCTGTGCAGCTGTTGCACTACTGTTATTAACACTTCATTGATATACTACTCTTACTAAGTACTGAATTATTATAGACAAAAACCTCCCCCAAAAACCTTTGAGATCTGGCTACTCATCTTCAGGTTAGATTTATAGCCCAGTAGTGTATATATAGTTCAAATATGTCTATTTTGCTTTCTCTGCACTATTGTGTCTGTATTTTTGTTCTGACACCCACAAGCCGACTGGGTGAGCTTCAGTACCATAGTGACCCCTAGTGGTGAAACAGGAAACAGCAATTTCTGTCTGATAATCTGCATCTCGTCCAGGTAGTGCATGCCATTGATTAGATATCACAATATTGAGTCAGCAGGAGAAATACAGACATACTTACTAATGTAGCTAATGCACAAACTCGGTTCTCCTCATGAAAAATTCAAAATCCTTCTCAAATGATAAAAGTCTAAAACAAGGAGAATGGATGCTACAGTTTTTACTGTAGATCTGTGCAGTGCTTGTTCTTGGCTTTGTGAGAAGTCTTCATTAATGTCAGACGTTGGTCTGTAGACACGAACTCTTTGACACTCAATTTCAACTCCATTAGACCTTGTTTCTGCTTGTCTGTGTGTGCTACTGTCAGTTAGCCCTCTGCTCTGCAGGTCTACTCATCAAACTGCCTGGATATGTTGCTGTATGTGGAAAGCCAAGCAGAACCCAGAGCTTCCATTGCTGAGGGTTGGCAGAGAAGCTATTGTACAAATGTCTTCTCAGTACAGCAAAGTTATAAGTCAGAATGAGAATACAAAATACTTCAAATGCTCCATTAAGTACGTGTGACTGTAAAGTTTAATCAAGTCAGATACTTTGGAATCATTTTTAATTTGTATGTAACTAGTGTAATAGCTAAAGGATGTTGGAGGACATATCTAAAATAAGATATATGTATCAATCCCATCTGGATTTTGACCCAACTTTGATTTTTTGTAGCAATTTAAACATAAAATATTGCAATGATGTACAAAGATGTATAGTAGGACAAGGCTTCTTTTCATTTAAATAAACTAAAAAATAATTCTTACTTATATGCAAACATATAAGTATGGGAGAGTGGCAGCCTAGTTGTTAGGGCATAGAGCTTGGAATCCTGAGGTTCTGAGTGTACCCACTTCCACAGACTGCCACGCTGGCTCCCTGAGCAAAGAATTAACCCCACACTACTCCCCGGGCACCGCACAATGGCAGCCCACTGCTGCCCAAGGAGATGGGTTAAATGCAGAGAGTTAATTTCGTTGCTCTGTACTTGTGACAGTGTAATGACAATAAAAGCTGGGGAAAAAAAAAAAAAAAAAACATGCAAAGCTAAGAACAAAAACAACAAACAACTAAAAACATGTTGAGAAACAGCTGCACAACCAGAGTTGAATTAAAGGGAGCCAAACAATAAATTGTATTTTAGGAATTTCCAATCACAGCTGTATGAAATAAAAATAAAGACTTACCAAAAAACAAAAAAGAAGTACAATTTCTTCTTTACTAAAAATGACAAAGAAAAATAAAAGGTAAAGGGCAAAAGCTGAAGTTAAAGTCTGAAAGATTACAGCAGCACCATAATAAGACTTTTCTCATTTTAGTTTACAGGCTCAGCTTACACACAAATAAGAATGTACATGAAAAGCTAGAAGACCAGTGCATCAAGGCCAAGTCTGTTATTACCCTTGATGTGCAAAAATCTTTAATATGATTGGAAATTTTAAAGCAGTAACTCATCAATCTCATGTTAAGTTATAAAAACTTTATTCGAGCTCATTTGGTCAGTGGGTAAAAAACCATCATTAGGATGTTTCTAACAAAACTATTGGTAAATCAGTAAATTGTTTGTTTCTCTCCTAATTAAAATAAATGAAACAAAGAAACATTGTAACAATATTCAGAACATTATAATTACCAGTCAATGACTGTTATTCTTAATGAATAAATATGTCATGACAGAAACGCATTACTATCCAATGGCCAGTAAGCTACACAGTGTGTTTTATGGTAATAGAGGTGAAAAAATATGGCTTGACTGCAGCAAGGGATAAGAAGATGGTATCAAGGTTTTTTAAGAAAAACAAAAAAAAAAACAACCCTCTAAACTTATTCTTCATGCCAACACTTTAAATACCAACAATAAAAACAAACATCCTTTTATCAAAGACTTGAATTTCCTTCAGATGAGACGATTTAGCTTTTCTACATAAAACCAAGTATGTTTAGTCTTAATCTATATCTGGTGCCTTGGAGAAAATAAGTAATTACTTTCAAAAGATAAAAATGTCAAAAGGTACCTTCTGTCACAGATGAGCCTTACTAATCATGTTAGCACCCATTGATACCTCACAACAAATATCCATCATCTGCAATGCTGTTCTGCTACAAAGAGCAATTGGAGACACAACAAGTTATGGAAGGTATGAGGGAGAATAAATGAAGTTAGAAGGTTTTGAAATAATTTGGAAAATGTTGCCTGTATAAATATTTTTTGAGAACAAAGTTAATGTTGAGATTGTGTACTGCTTTGCTGCCTTTAAGGAATAAACATAACAAAATGACAGACAGTGATTATGGGATGGACAAACATATGGGCAAATCAAGATCATTTAAAGCTCACTATCAGTCTTGCTAACAGCCAGTTTAAAAGTCGTAAATTAATCAACCTTCCTGGCTTTGTCTTTATTCCAGACAATTAAAAAAAATGATACCTGCAGGCAGAAGATGATATGATATTGAAGAGATGAAACTGAAACACACTTTAAATGTAGGAGCAACATCTTTAAATCTGAATCAGCTCCACTTGGGGCCACCATTTGTGCAAATCTAGGCTGATATAAAATGGTGTTATTAAAATAAAATTCTCACAGGCCTTGGAAATCATTCACTTTGAATTCATTTCACAGAGCTCAGCATAACATATTTGACCTAAGCAAAATATTTGGTAAATTTCACTACTAGGTGGACTATTGAGCACTGTCTGCAGACCAAAACAAGATGTATGATAAGCAACGCCTCTCTCCATCTCCACTCCATCTCCAAACATACCCCAACCCCCCATTTCCCACCCCTTTCTAACTCAATGCCTCCTTTCCACATATATATTCCACAAGTATAACAGCAAATAATAATCACCATTTAGAGGAACATAGCTAGTGAAGAAGTCAGTAACTTATAACTTCATAATGCCTTTAGCAGGAGAGCATAAATTATAATTTTCAATTAGCTGTTTTGTTTCTGCTGTACACACTCTCCATCATATTGCTCTTACTGCTTGGACATTTGCATTTTATGGCCAGTTAATCATTAACCTATTGAACATAACAGCAAGATGGCAATGTCATAATATATACCTTTAGGTGAAGCATGTCATGGATATTTCATGACCTACCAGATGGGCCAATAATGAGCTTTCAAAGGAAACTTTGGTAGAATGGGAAAGTTCACCCCATTTAAACTAATATTCCCTTACTGAGAACACTGGTATCTCCATGACTAGATCATTGTTGTAATCGTGGTTTGCAATAGTCCCAAAGCGTAAGGAATGACTTTGTATCCATTTTTAAAACTTTTATTAGTAAACCTTTTATTTAATGTTCTAGAAAGTACTGCAAGTTAAAACCTTTTTATGTTATGTAATGTTGACAGACTTTTTAATTTTTTTTTATTCATTGTTTCTGCAAGACTAGGTAAATTTAGATCTTCCTTTCTAAGGCAATCATATCCTAAAACTTGGTTTTTTATTTGCTTGGTAATCCTTGTCCAATATTAATTTTTTGGATGATATGACACATAAGAGTGACAAGTCATAGCAAGAGGAATATGTAAGGGGCAAATACTATTTCAAAGTAATACAACAATAAACTTGTTTCTGTCCGTCACATGATCGCCCAGTCATACACATTTTCCATAAATATAAGGGTTAACTCACGTGGTAAAGGCAGGATTGTATTTGGCCCCAAGGTAGTAAGAGTAGAGGTTGAACATTCCAATCATGAAGGCCACAAACACCATAATGAAGATGACCATGAATTTAAAGATGTCTTTGACCGTCCGTCCCAGAGAGATCTGCAATGGGCCAAAGCTCTCATTGGCTGGTAAGATGTAGGCAATGCGTGAGAAACTCAGAACCACAGCAATGGCGTACAAACCCTCAGAGATGATCTGAGGGTCAGAGGGGCGCCACTTGTTCCTCGCTGAAAGAGAAAAGCAAAAACACTTGTTCTAATGGAAAAGACTGCAAGTATGTTGAATTAGCCTTCAATATATTTATATATTTCTATTAATGAACAAACCTTTCTTGTAATTATTTAAAGTAACATTTTTTTTGTAGTTTCTTAAAGCGGTTGTAAAGTGCTTTCAAATGTTTTTATTGGACTGTTAATGAGAGGCTCTGTGTATGCACCCTGATGCTCTATCTTTCCGGTTCTTTTCTCTGAAAAGACATCACTCAGGACAAACTCTTTAAATAACACTTCATAAGGATAATTATCCTAACAGGACTTAGGGCAGTTTCTTGAGTTTTCCTCTTTCTCATCATAAAAACATATTTTTTAGTATGTTAACAAAATTAGGGGGATAGAGTCAAGTACAAATAAAAACCTCCAAAGCTCAAGCACATCTCCTGCATTCAACACCAAAGTATTTGCTGGAGTATGAGCACCAACTTATACTCCTTCATGTTAATAAAACTAAATTGCTACTTTCTCTCCCTGTGAGCTTGTCAGGTCAAAACAAACAAAATAAAAACAACATTGCCCTGATAAGTGTTCTATTTGAAAACAAAAGTGATTGAAATAAAATGAAAGCATTTAAAATTGCTACAGAGGGCCTGGAGAATTGCTAAATATGAGAAGTTTATAAGATAATAAATATTTTTATTCCTTAAAACCAAATAATTGGGACTCTTTGCTGCTATATTTAGCACTGTATTCCCACAAGGTCTGGAATGGCATATGACTTTTCTGCTAAAAATGGCTTGGTTGAAATAGGATAGAATGTTTGTTTTTAGCATTCATGCTCATGTGCACTTTGGTTGCTTTTTAAAGTGTTTCTGGCTGCAGCAAGTACAGTTGATCTGAAGTAATGGGTACGTTGTTGCTTAAATGCACAGTATCAGCCTTGTTTTGGAACAAAATGCCAATGAATAAAACAAAGAACAGACATCATAGAAATGGAAAATGAAATATTTTTAGCAGGCAACAGGTAGACCAGCAGTAAAGATGAGATGGGAAGCACAGGAAGTTTGCTGTGTAGATTAATTAATGCAGAAGGAACAAATACTTCAGCTTGATTTAAACAGAGGGCAAAATATATATATTTTTTGTGTTTGTTACTTTCTTGTCAGGACAAACATTTCCATCTGCTTAGTTATCTGTCATGACAGAGTCCAACCAGATGGGGGAAGCACTGCTGAGGTTTATCTCTATGTCCAGATCTGCACATTCAATTACCTGCAGACTGTAGCAGGTGATTACACTCCATAAATCTGTTAGGGTAAATACATTCCTTTTTTTTTTTTTACAAAAGCACATCATATTTTCCCTTGTATCCATTGTTTACACCATAGGATCATATTAAGCTGTGAATGATATCACTGTTAATCCAGTCATTATCAGGCCACACCATGTGTCTCAGGAAAAACCTGCAATATCATGTTCTGCATTTAGATCATTAGTTACATCCATATTTATTTGCACAATTGTTATAATAAAAACGTTTTGGTACACATCTGGCAGCATCCAAAATCCAACTACTATGAGTCACTGTCTTAATTTTAACCATCATGTGGATATGCTTCTGCATACCTACCTTTTAGACACAGACAAATGCTATCTTTGCTCTCCCATACCTTTTTAAGATAATAAAGAGATACTGCAAAATCAGTTATAACAGAATGGATGTTCTTTCTGCAGCTCATTTCACTACATTTTCTAAAAAAATATGAGGCAAAGTGATCAGCTGTAAAAATCAGAGGTGAAGGAACTTCACTGCATCATGCCTTTGCAGCTGCTTATACTGAAAACGGCAAGGCGCAATGAAGAAAGAGCAATTTCCCTTGGAACAGGGAGTGCTTGAGAGGCTGTAAGCTTAACTAAGCCTGTGTTTGAAATATTTAAAATAATTTCCTGGAACTATAGCAACAGACAACTCTCCCTTCGCTGCAAAAAGAGATTACCGTTTTTCTAATTTGCCTCTGGACCAATTTGCTTTAAGACAATAGCTTTACATTTGGTCCGATGTGTGCATAATGTGCCGAAAGCTGTCTGCATGTAATCAGATCCATAAATATGCTTGGTAATGCCGGGTGCAAACTGGACTAACATTTCAAGTAAAATGCTAAGGTTTCTCTTCATGTGTCTGATCTGAAGTTTCCAATTTGCAGTCAACCTGAAACAACACCATAGAACTACAGAAACAATTAAAATCTTCATATCATAGCATCAAATAAGCCTTTTTTTAAAGACATTGTTAAAACAATGAATTTTCTGTTTCCTTTATTAAAGAAACATTGCTGATATTATTACTGACAATATATATTTACCGTAAGTGAAATAAGCCACTTCATCAGGCAGAGAGGCATTGCTGAGGTCTTCATCTGGAACATGCATATCCACATACTGCTGTGCTTTGGATGCCTTCAGGAAGGCCATGAGGCGTGCCGTGAAGGACGCCACAAAGATGGACAACATGCCAAAGTCCAGAACATTCCAGAGGTGCATGATATATTCCCTGGGTCCGTCACTCCAAATCTCCTTACATTCTGACCAAATCATACCTGAAAGATAAGGAACATATTGTAGTGAACATTAATAGAAAATTATATATATGGGGTGATAAGGCTTTTTACAGTCAGTTGTATTAAAAATCCAATGAATTCAGGCAAGCACACACGTAAAAAAGCCCAAAATTGTAAATAAGCTGCTTTCAAAGGTTTTTCATGCCAACTAAATCACTTTAGAGATGCCATTTGATGCTCAGGTGTATGTAAACAAACATATGAGAAAGCATAACAGTTTGCTGTGAACCCATTAGGTCCCACTCTAGATGGAGCCAAGGGAGGGGAAAATGGACTAGGGAAAAGGAAGCTGTGATCAGCACCATCTCTTTTACATTTACTGGGTATAGAAAAGTATGGCTGCAATTAGAATTATTCAGCCACTTAGCCACAAGCCTCTGTGTAAAGACACACATTTGTGTGACACAGTAGTACAAACAGCTGCTGCCAAAGATGACCAGGAAAGCTAGGAAGAATGATGTTATTACACATAAACAAATAAAAGCAGGACCATATGAGGACCGGCATGGACAAACCACACACATAATGTCGTTAAGTGTGAATGGACGGGAGGAAGAATATCAGCAGATGGGAAGCAGCTGAGGTCTGACAGATATTGCCAGGGGCTACGTATCCTTTCAGTTTGTCTTTGTCATCCACCACTATTTTCCTGCTTCCTCATGCCTGTCTTGTCTTGAGCCACACGCTTCATTCTTGCGCTTTCATTTTCATCTTTTCCCTTTGGCCACTTCAGACTTTTCCCTCATTTCTCCTTCTCCCTTGCTCTATGTATATTTCCTCTGCACACAGTCTCAGGTCAACCTGTAACTTTCCCTCAAGCTGATCATTAAGACCGAGGATGAAAAGTGTTTCAGCAAGTCAAGATGGCACTGAATCCATACAGGAGGTAACCTCTGTTTGATCTTTGGAAGATGAAAAAATATAATTGGTTGTAAAACTATAATCTGGGCTTTAATCGCCTTGGTTGGTGTTTATCTGTATGAAACTTTGATTATACCTCATAGGAAATCGAGGCAAAAAGTTTCTGACCATGGAAAAAAAACAACTATACTTGTTAAAAAAGGATGCCTTTCAAGAAGATACCTTATCTCAATTAACATATGTCTCTTAAAGTTCCTAAAATTTACAAAATAGATAGATTTATTTCAAAACATTGTTTTAGTTTCCTTACAAATATACTCAGTTCTTCTAAAAGGCCTCATGTGCTGTATTTTTTTTTTTATTTTTTTTCAAAATCAATTTCCCTTCCCTCATCTCTAAGTTGTTTATTATGAATGATTTGTTTCAGCCAGGAGCCCCTTAGATTGATTTAAGAGTGTATGGCCGCAGCCTAGATACTTCATACAGTAGCACTCATCTGGTGAACTTAAGCCACGCCTTCTGTGTCGTTTCCTTTCAGGAACTCAGGTTGCTCATCAACGTAGTTTATCCTTTTTAATCATCTTAGCTTCCCCCCCCAATTTTATTGTTTTTTAGTCGTTTTATCATGTAGCTATTTACAAGGAAATAAATGATGAAAGCAATGTTTTAAGAGAGCCTTTTGACAGTTTTTTCAGAGACTTAAAAATAAGGTTTAGATTAAGTCTTTAGACATAAATGTATGCTATTAGACCTTTGAAATCAGGGTTAGTATTTTTTTTTACCTCTTTACAAGTGTTTCTTCCACAAATCAATACAGAATTACTTTACATTGAAACATTTTTTAAGAATGTAAAGTCTTTTAAAACATTAAGGGCTTAACAAAGTAATAACGATAGAAGAACACAGCTACGGTACTTTTAACATCCCCATGAACACCATAAAAGTAGGGTATACCTGCTAAAACAAACACTTCATACACTAACAGGTCCGGCTAGAAGAGAATTAATAAGAAAAACAGAAAAGAAGCTCCTTGTAACTATGGAGGATCTTCTAGGATCTCATCTCAGGGCTTCACTGATCTGGAATATCTATAAAAATGGCTTAAATAAAGCCATAAGATGTACATCTGCTACAAGCTACTTAGAAGATCTTGCAAGACCTTATAGGAAACAAAGGAAGAGCTCTGATGGTCAATCAAAGAACATCCCAATAAAATCTATTGCAGTTCGTAACAGATGAAATATTTTTCAAAAATGTGTTTTTGTGCATATTTTCACTCACCCAACACCCACTTCATGATCAACATCTCTGTCCATGAGAACTGGGTGGTTTTGACCCTGAACACCTGTCGTGGGTGATCTGTGATGGTTTCGTTTGGCAGGTTCTTGACCCCCTCAAAGCGGTCTGAAGCATTGACCACCAGCAGGCCAAGGAAGAGGGTGAAGGAGACAGCATGAGCCACGAATTTCATGAAAGGACTGCGCAGAATCTGACCAAGCTGCAGAAGAAAATACAAACAATCAAAGAACAGGTTTTATTGTTTGTTTTTATTTTGTTTATATTTAGAATTTCCAAGGTATGGAGATGTTCTGTAGTCCCATTTCCTATTTAGGAGTCTTTCTTAAAGCAACATATACTGAAGCCAAACACGACATCTGTTTTTCTTTACTGAGGTAACTCATCCTTTTTAAGGATTTACACTAACCTAGGTCCTCTGAGATGAAAAGCATCACTACAAAAACAATCTTAGCCGAAAAACAGCAGCTGTTCTAATTCAATGATCCATTTTCCAAGCAACATAATGGCAGAGTAACTCACTGCCAAACAATCAACAGTTAACAGAAAAAAGCACCATCTGGGAAGGCGGAAAGGCTGGAAGGTAGTGAGCAAAAAAGTGTTAAAACATACCACAAGGGCTGCTCCACAGTATGTCAAATACACACATGCTCACGAAAATGTGCACACTTGCAACCACATATAGACCTCTGAGATTTCAGCATTTGCCAATCTCAGAGCCTGCTGTGATCAATATTAAGTACCTACGGGACACCTCTACCCACTCTCTGCAGAGTAACACATCAGATCCTGTAGGTGAATGAATACCACACACACAGCCACCAACCAAGGAAAGGTTGCCTTATAATTTTTAACCCTGTGAAACTTTAGCTAATGTTCTGGCCTCCATTTCGATTTTCCTGCACTGCTGAAATAAAATGTCTGATCCATCTGAACGGTCAGTCTGAAACGATGGTCTCCCTGATTAGGCGTGCTTTTCCACCGTTCTCTTACATGGGATATGCAGAGATATTCTAATTGGGTTAAAAATGTAACAGTGGAGTAAATTATGGTGTTACAATGAAGCTTTAATGCACTCAAACTTCGAAAACAGTGTACTGGATCCTATACTGACTCCTGACATGAGCTAAATTTCGTAATTTTTTATGTGGCTCTATGACTATGGGCATACATTAAGGTTCCATCCTTATATTTGCATATTGCTGAGCTAATAAACCCTGATCATCAAAATATCACACAGACCTCTGTTTTTTGGAATAATGGCAGACAAGATGCACTTTTTAAATGTGTGACGTATGATGAATATAAGTTCATGTTAAGAGTAAAATTTACTTTTCCTAAATTATTCTCAAATATGGGCATGAAAACAAAAAAAATAACATGACAGTAATAAAATTTTATCTAGCAACATTATCTTGAATGGTTTGTCTCCTCCAGCTGATAATGAGGATATAAAACATGGGAGCCAAACATACTATGAAATGGGTAATTAGCTTGGCTTTCATTTTATTTGCTTCCTTTTGTGTGAGTAATTTTAAACACTGAGACCCCATAATGTAATTTACCTATTGTGTCTGAATATAATGAAGTTACCTTGGAGCTCAGATTTTGTATTAATACCTGCTGTGGGGAATTCGATTTAAGGAGTAGTGCCCCATAGCATGGCGCCATAAGCTACCACCTACTGTACATTGGGCTTTAGAAGCATCTGGTTTCTTAGTCCCTGCAGCATGTACTCTATAATAGTTCAAGTGTTGTAGAGAACTGAATATGATTTAATCTCTGAAATAAAAAAATGAATTACAATTCTCCAAAACTAAAGTTGCTTGTATTTTTATTATTTAGAAGTTAAATGTTCACCAATGTTGATCTATTTGCAAACATCCACCTCTCATTGATTTACTTTGCTTTTTTAATTGCCATCAAGAGAAAGCCTTTTGCAATGACTGTGACGCAATTATGTTTTAAGATAAGGACTTTAAATCCTCCACATTTCCAGGAGAACTTACTTTATTTAGTCCATGTTTTTAACACACACTCAGCCTGTCTTAATTAGCCAAGCAGAGACCGAGGTAATCCAAAACAAGACACCTAAGGCTTGTCTCTGGAGGTCTCACTGTCTGTTGAAAATTCAAAACAATTCATATAAGAGTGGTTTTACCTCAGTTATGCTGTTAATGGCTGCTTATATGTGTACTGTGAATAATTTCTTTAAGCTTCAACTATTTCATTCTGAAATTCAGCTACAATATAGAAGTACAGTACTGAACACATCAGTTTCATGTCATTATTTCTCCAAATCAATTCAGTATTTAATTCAATTCAGTTTATTTATATAGCACCAAATTCACAACACATGTCATCTCAAGGCACTTTTCAGTTCAACCAGATCATACAGTCAAATTGATACAAAGTTTTCTATCTAAGGAAAACCAGTTGATTGCATTGACTCATTGACTCAAATACAATCCCTCACACTAAGCATGCTTATAGCGACAGTGGAGATGAAAAACTCCCTTTTAACAGGAAGAAACTTCCAGCAGAACCAGGCTCAGTGTGAGCGGCCATCTGCTGAGGTCGACTGGGGTTCAAGGAGACAGAAGCAGAGACTTTTTTCCATAATTGAGAGGAAATAAACCAGCGCCTTATAACCAGGGTATTACACAGGAAGCATGTTTCTTAGTGTAACATTCATAAATAATAAGAATAACAGCAATTAAAAAAAGTAATCCAAGACCATAGAAGAGCACTCCTTCCATTATACCTTGATGTCTTCACTAGTGAAGAAAAACCATTTTGAAACATTAAAAAAAATTATTTTAAAGACAACATACCAGAATATGAAGAGCTAGAAAATCATGGATGAAATAAACTAAGGCAATCTCAATAAGGACAAATTTTTCAGCATGACACCAACTGAACTTACTCTGCATGTACGTGTAGCATTGAGTAGCAGCGCTATGCTAGATGTACATGCATAAAATTATATGCAATTTTATGCAATCATGCATAAAAAAGCATAATTTCATAAATACATGTATAAACATATTTGTTGTTTTTCCTAGATATGTAGATTAATTGGGTTGCTGTGAATTTCAAGTCAATATCCCCGTTTGACATAAATGCAGTGAGAAAATGTTAGTGTTCAGCTTTAAGTTTGTTGGTGTTCGGCTGCTGTTAAACTGTCATGAAACTCCTTTGGTTTCTCCTTAGCTCTGCCTTGGCCTTACTGTGTCTCTACCTTTCTTATACCATATCCAAAATAATTAGAGAAAATACAGCACGGGATAAACTATCTATGCTGCTATATGTTTAGGCTGCTGGATAACATGGGAACCAAATTTCATCATCCCGCTTCATTCAATCTCTATTCTGCAGCATTGGTTAAATTCCACTGATAACTTTATGTTCTTTCTGCTTTTTTCCTGTCCTAGTAGCTTCATCTGGTCTGTTCCTGTTTGGCTGTGACTCCATCAACATCCCTGTTTTCTGTATGTCTACTTCTGTTTTCTTGAACCCCAGTCGGGCCCTGCATATGGCCGCTCACATTAAGCCTGGTTCTGCTGGAGATTTCTTCCTGTTAAAAGGGAGTTTTTTTCTCTCCACTGTCACTACAAGCATCCTCATTTTGAGGGATTTGTGAGGAGTCAATGACAAAATGCAAGCGAAAATCTTTGCCGCAAGCTCATCCAGCATGAGCGCATCTTAAAAGTCAATGACTGGATGCAATAAACTGGTTTCCCTAACCAAACAGTATTGCCTCAGACAAACTTTATTGTCATTTTGTATTCACAGAGTGTATACAAATGGAAATCTCGTTTCTACAGCTTTCAGACAGTGAATGATCAGCAGCTTAGCAGTAAAAAAGAACATTTCCCTTCATAAAGTGCAGCAGTGATCAAATGTACACAGTGTGGGGAAAAAACCCTGGAGCTAAAGGCATTGATGTGGAAGGTTCAGAGCAGTGCAAGAATAAATAAATTGATATGGTGCAAAATGCAGTAAAAAAACATTTGAGTAGAGTTCTATTTTGGAGCTCCACTATGTAGTGCAGTATTGTCACTGTAAAGTTAGATGACATGCTCTGAATTGACACTACAGTATATAAACAAACTGAAATAAATTGAAAATTAAACTGAAACATAAAGGTACACAGCCTTTGTAACTAAACAAAACTAACCACCCTTCAGATAAATTAAACTGCTAACCAGCAATGTCTGCACACCTAAATCAATACATCATTTCAGTGCAGTGTTAGTAACTTGTGTTTTTTTCCAGTGTTACAAATCACAGAATGTTAGATCCAGCCTCACTGGTTGGCTGATTCGTGATTATTAATAATCACAAATAAATACATGTGCACACATCAGTAAGATCAGATGCAACCAGTCCCACATGATTGAATCCACGACTCTGTGGTGAGGAATCTCTCAGCATCATAGCACTCTTCATCCTCTCAGCCAAACACTCAACATCAGCTGCTCTCACTCTGCCTGCAAAATGACACTCTCATCAGTAAAAACCCAGACATGAACCATTGGTCCACAACACTGTCTGTGAATCACTCACACACACTCACATGCATCCACCACTTGATGAGGGGGTAGAGGATTATCCAGCTTGATGAGCAGATTTGCATAACTGCTTGCAGAGTCCCTGCATGGCCTTCGCAATATTGTCACTCTACAAATTATAATTTCCTTGATGGAAAATTAAGAATGTGTGATAGAATGACTTTGGCACTGTAATGAAAAAGTGACAAGATTGACTCTCATTCCATTCATGTCCATCAAAAAACTGGTTTAGAGTTCTTTAAGAAACATGTTTTCATCAAAAAAGCTCCAGTTGCAATACAGCAAATTTAACCCCTGGTATTTATAACTAGCATCCCACTGACAGAAAAAACCCAGCAGGCCTCATCAACCCCTGCATTCTCATTGTAATGATTATTGAGCAGTTCCTAATGAAAAAATATGTGATTGCTTTCTTTCTTGCATGTGTTACCTGACTGAAACAAAAAAGATTATAGTTTTTTAAGGGGCACAGATGGTAAAAGAAAGGTATAGAGGGTAAAATGTAAATAACCAATCTAATTATTTGGTCATGCTAATTATGAAAAACCTTTGATGCAAAATGACATGTGTCAAAGCTTTGGCTTTAAAAAAAAACAATATAAATATTGCTGCATCTTAGTACCTACAGTAATTCTGGTTGGCTGTTGATCACTTTAAAATCAAATGCGATGTCACAGTATTTCTGTAGTTGAACTGCCTTGTTTTGAGAAACAGTTTCATTCATGTTATTTTGTTTTTTTAAAAGGAAGTTTGATGGGATTTTTAACCAATTTTTTTTCTCTCGTTTATTGGCCAAGGAGCTTAGAAGTGCTACTTCTGTTTTGTGAGATAAGAATTTTTTTTCTTATTTTATAGTAAAAATGGGTTGTTTTGTGTTTTTTTTCGCTTTGGCATTGGAGACCCTGAAAATTTAATTCTTCCCTTCAGTTTGTTTAGTCATGTGTGAAACACTAAAGTTGTAAAATATAAATCATCTTTATGCCAAGTTGTTTAGTAGTTTTGAGTTGTTGGCTTTGCCTTCCAGACTTTCATTTTAACAGCTACAGTACAACAATATTTTGATGTTTGACAAAATTATAAAACACATATGTTTGATGAACTATACACCTATGTAGAGACCATTAAAAAAACCTTTAAAATCAGATAAGAAACAAATAATATTTTTACTAATAAGAAGGAAAAAACTAAAACTAGCCAAACATTATGCCCCTATGCAAAGAATGACTCCCTTTTTTGTTAAATGACAAATGGAAAGTGATTTACCATAATTTTAATGCTAAGTTCCGCTTCAGTAGTGGCAGGCCTGATTAATGTCAGTTAAGTTAAGTTACTCAGATAGAGCCTGTCTGGTACATGAAGAAATTTAAAACCATAATACATCATACCTCTACTTAAAGAAATTTGATAACAGAAGAAACAAATGAGCTGATCTTTAGAAGGTTTGAACGTCCTTAAACAAGTGCAATCATGCTGGTATTTGCAGACCAGATCTTTAAAGAAGGTACAAAGTGGTTTGCAATTCAACTGCGTGTGCAAACATATTTTTGTGTGTGCTTTCATCAATACCATTATCATATTCTAATGACCAAACTGCCCAAATATTTGGCTGGAACAAGCTTCAGTTGCAAATTAAATATACATTTCTTTGTCTGATTTTAAATCGCTCTTAGAAACTCATCTCTTTGACCTGGCTTTCTAAACTGTGTGAGATGTTGATTTTAGTCTGTGATACATTATTTTAAATTACTTTTATTTTTATGTTATCATAGATTTTATAGTTCTGATTTCAGTCTGTGTAATGGTTTTATGTTGTTTCACTGTACAGCACTTTGGTCCTTTGAGAAATTTTAAAGTGCTTTATAAATAAAGTTGGATTCGATTGGATTGAAATCTATAGAGAGAAACACTGTGTTGGAAACCTGTTTGATAGCCGACTGATATATGTTAGGCTGTTAGTGAACAAAACACATTAAGCTGTAAAAGACTATTTTCTCGGTGATGATTTACAAAACAAACACAGAACTGTATATGGAAAAAAGCCAACAATAATGCACTGTTTTTGTCTATTTTTATATTTATTCATGAGTGTTTCTTTTTATACCATGGGGTGTAAATTTAAGCTAAAATGATAACCTTGACATGATGATGTATCATCATTTATCTAAATAATCCTCAAGTCCTTGGAGAAAATATTCTTTTGAAATAGGGACACATGTTTGGTGGTGGTGGTAGACTGATGGTCTGCTGAAAAATCCTGAAGGAAAAGCTCTTGACATCAGTTTGTGATCTTAAGCTCAACTTCCCTTAGGTTAAGCAGCAGGGCAATGATTCGAAGCACGCCAGTAAGTCTTCTTTATGCTCTCTTAAAAACAAAAGGAAAGTTTTTGAAGTAATTCCTTCTTACTGAGATTATGTTGGCATGACCCCAAACAGGAAGATAATGATAAAAACCCTTTTAGTCTGGCTGCTCTGAGCAGTTTTGCAAAGAAAAATGTAATAATATGTAATACTAAATATTTTTTTCCGGTTATAAGGAATACATGATAGCATTTTTTTCAAGGGTGGTACAAAAAGTTATTTAGCCTAAGTGGAAAATGTTTGTTTTGCGTTGGACCGGATTTGTCTTCATAGTTTCTTTTTCCTCATTTGATTATATGTGAAAAAAAAAAAACATTTTATTAAAAAAGTAAAATAGGATAGATTATCTGAAACATGCCAGTGTGACAAACAAAAACAAAAGAAATCCAATAATAGGATATAGAGTGATCTTCTTTACAGCAATTTATAACTTGGATGATGTTTTGTTTTAGCATGGAGATGGAGGACCCAGGAGCCATATGGAAAGTTAAATGTGTGCTTAAGAAAAGCTCTGAAAAAAACCTGATCATTGAAGAAACCATCAGTCCATCACATCTTTCAGTTTAGCTTTAACCACCCAGATCAGCAGTGTGCCAGCTGTTAAATTGGATTTCTTTTTAAAATAAAGCTGCTCCAAGAGCAAAAAACAAACAAAAACAAAACAAGGACCACACCAAGAAGAAAAACCTCCAGTAATATGATTGCTACTTTCTACAAAAATAGTCTTTAATTTTAATTTTGGTGACATCTGTTGTAACACCTACCATTATTGGTAAAATTAAGAATGTCCTATAATGTAATAGCTTATAGAAAACTTGCAGTGACAAGAAGTGGTTCTCTATATGGCTTTCACAGCTTCTAATGCTGTTCAAACTAAATTGGGACCTGATTTCTCCTAAATAACAATACCTCAGTTTGTTTACACACATTGCATTTGTTTCTGTGAAACCTGCTATCTTAAGGTCGCAGCAAAGTACTTCATTAATCTGACATTGCGTGCCCCCTTGATTTGTATCTCTACCATCCATTCTTATTGAATCCAATGTGTTTAGTTAAATGACCCAATTAAAAGGTCAGATTGATGACCTGACGTTTGACGGGAATAGTTTGTATAAAAGATGTTCTTGGTTTAATCTGTTACTGCAAGGTGTCGAGATCCTAAGGTTACTAGATAAGCACCAAGTCATTACCTTTCAACCACCATGCTTAACAACAACAACAACATATAGAGTATTTGAGGCAGAAAAGTTGTGTTTTACCTTTTCTACCAAGAATAATAGTTTTCTTTATGGTTGTAACATCTACTTCACTCATTTACACCCAACCGCCATTGTTCCAGAAGTGTTCAGCAAATTTAAGTTTGGCTGGGATTGGGATCAGAATAAATATGCCAATAGTAACCCTGCCAATAAGCTAGATTTGTTTCACCTTTTTTCTATCTTCTGTTATAAACTTGAACATTTCAAATGTTAGGTTGTTCACTGATCATACAAGTTGGAGAAGAACTAGATAAAATATCTCATTATGAAATTGTTGATGCTGATACAGTAAGTAAAACACAATATTTAATTATGCTTGGAAATATGAAAGAAGTGTAAAACTACCAAAAAACAGATGGCTGGAAAAGAACTAAACTTAAAAATGACTGGCTAAGCCTGCATTCTATACTACTACTAGTTTCTATTGTTTTTAATATTCTTATTCCTGTAGAAACAACTATTCATAGCTTGTCCTGTATACATCCTTCTGATTATTTTGTAGTAACATCCTACCTTGCTACATGGCATTATCCAGTAGGCGATAGCCAGGAAAGGCAGACCCACGGTTACCCCCAGGACTGTCCAGCACTTCACACCGATGGACTGCTGCCTCAGGCCAGGAAGATTTTCATACCAAATGGTCAGCAGCTGCTGTTGGCAGTTGGGATGGGCAACAAACTGAAGGCAGATAATAAAATAGAAATCAACTCTAGGAAAATTTGATATAAAAGTAGAAAGAGGTGGAGAAGCAGGGTGAGAGAAGAGCAAATATTAAAACATTAAGAAATAGAAATCTGCCTTGGGTCGAATTATGTTTGTGAACGGAACACATTTTTAACCATTATCACTTATGGGTGATATTCATTTTTAAAATATTTGATGAACTAAGCATAAACTTCAATGAACAGATCAACACTGAGGACTTTCTGAGTCATAATAGTTAAACTAAGTAAAGATATGCCCGAGTAAAACCCAGGTAAGTTTCCTGTTTGTAAGATAAGCCCTTAATAGGGCACTAAGTCAAATACTTTGAAACTTAAAATCTTAAGGCAAGCGTGTTATTGTAGGTTGGTGAAAGACCTTACTACTTTTGTAACAATCAGAAAAATATGAATATTTTGAAGGCAATAATCAAGGTCAATGTGATAACAAGAAACGGTCACTTGCCCAAATATGTAAAAAAAAAAAAAAAAAAAAGAATTTGATAAGAAATTCATGAAAACACAGAGTGAAAGAAACACATTTTTTTATCACAACATAACCTTAAATTATTAATGCTGATACAGCACTTAGATTTTTACTTTTAATCTAAGCTTATTAACTTCATTTAACTTTTCAAATAGTTTTTTTTAACTTTTTCATTTAGCTTTTTATCTTTTTAACTCAACTTATTATTAACTTTTTCATTTTTTCTTCAACTGGATTTACAGTAGTTAAAATATAATTTAAGGGCTCATCTAATTTGTCAAATGCCAAAATTACGTGTACTGCCATGTTATAGTATTTTTGCAGAAAGTCTGGATATAAATATGGGGCTTCTAGACATTACTGTAATTTGTCTTATAAAGGGTTAAAGCTTTTATCTGGAAATCATATCAAAAGACTTAATACTCAATTAATTCAATGAATAATGAGGTTGCATGAAAGCAAAAATATTAAATCCTACATTAATTAAATGAAAAAGTTTAAATGTTCAACCTAAGTAAAATTCAATCTTTTAAAGGTGCTTCAACTAAAGTGGCTCACAGGACTGTCATCTGGGCAGAACTGTTTAGAAATGTTCTATGCCAGTATCTAATCATATCATATCATATCATTTAAATTCACATCTGGTGTGATTTGGTCTGGATAGACAACAGGTGCACAAAGTTTGTTGTGAAAGGTGTTGATTGAAACAAGAGCACATGCGGACCATTGCGACTCAGGAGTGTAAGAAAAATTATATATGACTTAATTGTGATATTACAATGCAAAGTACTTCATCATTTACCTTCCCAGAGATTCTCTTTATTCATAAAGATCATAAAGAGGTCTCACTCATTGATTTGTTCTGTAAATATTTATAGTCTTACAATATTATCAATTTAAAAAAATAAGTCTACTGTAGGTGCAGGTTGCAAAATCCTAGGATTAGCAAAGGAAAACATGAGAGCGGGCAGCAAGTAATAATGATTCAGTGCAAAAATTAATTAATGGAATTACTCAGAGAGATAAATGAATGGCAAGGTCTTACAGGGACAGAGAAGATGGATGCATTTCTTTGAGCAGGAGGAAGGATATGGACTGCACAGCGATCAATGCTCAGTGGTAGCTAACCGTAATAATAAACCTCCATGTGGAGTAATATTCTTTATTTTTAAAGTTTTGAGAAGCAGGTTTTCTGTTGTTTATAACTAGCTTTCTTTATAGTTCGTTTTGTTTGAATATATTCCTCTCAGTTGTTTTTCACCTGTTTCCCCTCTACCTCTTTCCTTCCTAATCAGATTGAATTTATCTGATCCAATCCAACAATAGAAACACAGATGGGTAAGCTGGATTCGTACAGCACCTCCGTCAACAAAACTAGAGATAACATTGTTTTCAGTTTCTATTTTGCAGTCCTTTAAGCCACTGAGCCATGCCCTCTATGCTGCCTGTGCCCAAAAACGCACACTCAACATAGTCATCCTTTGCCTCGTTCCCATGGCATCATCTCCCATCCCTGCAACTTTACTGTAGTAATTAGCAGCTCCCTGCTAAACATGGTTTTGTTTAAAGGTTTAAAAGAAAGGTGGCCCAAACAGCACATGTATTACACAGATGCAAGAAAGCAACCATAAATAAAATAAATAAACAAATAGGTTGTATAGAAACACATACAGCTTTGGTTCCAAACAGCAGTATGTGCCAGCAGGAGTTTTGTGAAGTCAAATGGGGAAAAGGGATTTGATTTGACATTTTAAAGCCACCTCTGCTCAGTGCGGATTAGTTTTCCCATAGGGGCCTGTCAGTTGCCTACTTTAGGCCTTCTAAGGCAACAGACACAACAACATAAAACTTAAAACATTTTTGTACAAATACTTAAAGCTCACCCACAGGGTTATTAAATGATCAAAAGCTTATGTCATAGTCATTTGATTTAACCGGAGACCCTATTACCATAACGGGTTAAGAGCTTTTAATAGATTCAGTACACCGAATCACACAATTTAAAAACAGTTGCTCGTCATTCTATCCAAAATTTTTACTAAGCAATATTTAAATCAAAGCATTTTCAAAATTGGTACGAGAGACTATTAGGGACAGGCTAGAGATTTTTTTTTAAATATGAGAATAAAGTCGTAATATTATGAAAATAAAGTTGTAATATGAAAATGAAGCTGTATTTTATGGCAACTCTTACAAGAAGCACTGTCTTCTCTAAAATGAGGAATGTCAAGCATGTAATGAAGCTATAGGCCTACTTTGGCATCGGTTTGACAAATAAGAAAATATGAAGTCTTTTAGCACACCAACATCAAATTATTATCAGTATCAAAACTTTGAAACGATTTTGCGAACAACTATGTCGGTATCGAAGAATGACTTTGTTGTCATTATATTACAAAATTATAATGTTACAACATTATTTTTATAATATTCTGACTTTATTCTTGATAGAAAAAATTATCATCTCAAGCCTCAAGCCTTTAAAATTGATAAACATAAATTTATAAAAATATATTTTAAAAACATCAACAAGTGTTTTATTTTCTGCAAAATATATCTAATCTTCGTATTTGGCCTGTCTTCAACAAATCAATGTCACTTCAGTCACGTTATATTAACCAAACACCAGTGCTCCCCCACCTCAAGTGTCACACACTGTTTCTAAGGCAAGGCAAAGTATGGGAGGAGGCACAAAAAATATGAAGAAAATTAAATAAATAATAATTAAATAGTCAAAATGGAAGTGCGTAATGGATAGTATTAAATACAAGCAACGTAAAAATATTTGATAAAGAAAAAGATTTACCTCTCTCTAATGTCATCCATAACGAATGAGCCCAGTATGTAATCATGCAGAGAGAACAGCTATGCAACAGGTAATACTTTAACAAAGTCTGGAGTTGATGCAACAGAAACTTTGCAATTAGGGCTGTCAAAGCTAACGTGTATAATGTTAATGTATATGGAACTTAATGGAAGTTCTTTTTCACTCCATTATTTTGGTAATGCGTGATTAACACTCAACCTTCCATACCTTTTGGACCTCATCTGTATTGTAGCTTAAAAATAATTTTGTTTTCTGCTACATTTTTTATATTGCTTCTTAAAAGCTTGTAGGCAGCCCCACTCTGTCCCACTTCCTCTCCACCTCTCCTCAGAGAGAGGGAGAGATCAATGGCCCCTGTTGGTCCTCGTCTAGAACCGCCCATGCCCTTATATGTTGTTGGCTGCCTCTTCCTTTCTCTATAATTTGAGATAGACAGCAAGCTTTATATATCTCTTCATGACACATTCCTTTTTAAGCTCTTTATATAACATTATTGTTGTACTGTAATATGTCCTCAACAAACCCTCAAATGACTGGATTATGTCAGGTGGATTTACTGAGCTTAGAAAGTCCACAAACCCTGGATTTATACTTCTTGAAATCACATGTAATGAAATCTAAAGTATACTATTTTGCAATGAGGGCAATTTAGGTTTTTTGAATCATGTGAAATAGGAATTAGGAAGACTGTTAGTGTTAAGGAAGGAGAAGGGGTTTTATTAGATAAGTCTCCTTTTCCCTTTTGATGATTATATACATCTTTGATTATAAAAAGTGCTTCCATGTGTTAAATGTATAATTGTACAGTATTTAATTGTCTGAAATAAATTCATTAAATCATGAATCCATTCAAGAGTTTGAGGATGTAGTTGATTCTAATAAACTACTGAGCTTGAGGATATCATAGTCAGGGGTTTAACATACAACTATGAGTCATTTCAAAACCTGATGTGGGTAACATTACTGAGGAAAGTTGTAATTGAAATTTTGGTCATTTGTGTTATGAAATTAGAGATAAAAAGGAAAGATATACTGATACTGAGATTAATTTTATACAGGTGTCATGATCTTTGCGCTGATAACTGGCCTGATTACTCTTTTCATTCCCCGTCTAGCTGCGCTCAGTTCTCATTACCGTTCATAGGATCCACCTGTTCCTGACTCTATTCACCAGCTTTCTACTAGTCATTAATTCAAATTATTCAAGCCTGTGGTGAGAGCCTCTAGCGCCCTGTGTTTTGTGATTTCCTGATCCTGACCCGTTTTGCCTCTGGACATCTGAGCCTACCTGTGCCATTTCTGATCTGTTTGCCTGACCTGTCCCCGGACTCTTGTTGGATTTCTGCCTGTGTCCCAAATTTGGAACCGATTCCTTACTCGATCCTGAATTTCCCTTCAGTACCCCTTTGGACCTCTGATCTCCTGGACTCCTGAGCACATAATCAACAACAGCTTTGGCTTCACCCTCTGGATTATCCTGCCTTCCTTTGTCTGCTCGGTTCTGATCTCCTGCCTGTCCTCCAACCTCTGGGGCTACAGCATCTGGCACGTCTTGTTGGCAGCTGACCGGCTGGAACCAACCTCGTCCTCTGGACTGAACTTTGAGACCTCCTGCAGAGGTCTTAAAGTGCAGTCCAATTAGACGGCCTCGCTGTTCACTGCAGATCCATTTCTTATCAAATAATTTTTTTAAGAAATCTCTCCATCTGCCTCGAAAACTGGGTCCTCTTGTCCTGAACCTTGACAAGAGAGTCCTAAATAGATGTGCTCAGTTTCGATTTTAATCAATGAAAGTTATTTCATTCTCTTGACTGCTTAACAATAAAAAAGCACACAGCTATTCATAATCGGTCCCTGCTGTTTAAAACTATATGATGAGTTAATGTAACATCTTTTGATTCCTTTTTGAAACATTCAAAATAAATACTGTATTTTCGTCAATACAGAAGAAAAAGTGTAAAAAAATATATTTTCTATAAAAAGCTAAAAATATACAAATAACAGTGTAACATCTCAGGGTTTGTAGCTCTTGTTAAGTGTCTATTATATGCAAGATATCAGTTTAATTACATTATTTTTATTTATACATCAGATAATATATATACATTTGCATTTGTATGCTGTACTTGGTATGTTTTTCATTGATTATTTTCCTATTTTTTCATGTAATATTTCCCTCCTTTTGTACGTTAAATCCATACATTTTCACTTTATGTTTTATTTTGCTAAACTATGCTGTAAATAATCTTACCTTTTTAACTTCATATTTGATGGCCAACTTGACGCGGCTGAGGCAGGGTCGGTTGTAGGGGCTTGGTGGGCACTGATCCACATCACCGTTCAGAATAGCTTCAACTTCTTCTGTGTCTCGACAAAGATCCAGCACACCCACCACAAAGTCTTTACACTGCATGGACAACTTACGGTAGTCATTCTGCAGAGGAGAGGAGGTCAGCAGCACCATCTCATTAATACCTTGCCAAAAACAGTTATATATATATATTTTTTAACCAACTTGTTTTTCTTAACCCCTAAAAACAAAAGGGACCCACTGAAAGCTAAGAAAAAAAATATATTACAAATGAATAGACAAACTTTCAGAGTGCTGTATTCGGAACTTATTCTTAAACTGTGTGCTTGAAATAAAGAAGATTCATTAAATGCATCATTATAAATCAAAGAACAAGCCCAATCTTTAGTTGTTTTTTTTAAAAAACCTTTAGTAATTTTATGCTTTCCTATGTCAAATTAGATTGGTAAATTTTTTTTTAAAATATTTTAAATTTTGCATTATCATAATATCCCCTTGAAAAACTTCGTATTTTTTTAAATGTCAATGGGGATAAACATGATTATTTCAGTCTAAATTTGGATATGACATGGATGTAAAACTTGTATTCTAACCTGTGATATACTTATACATGTAGATCAATTTAAATCAGATTAATTAGCCTCAGTTTACCGAAAGAAATAATGCAACAATTTTTGGCCTTTACTTAATCCGATTTAGTTTAAAATTTATTTCAATGTAAGCAGGGTTGTGTTAAAGTACCTAATTCACATTAATTACATTCCAAAATAGTTGCTTTTTTCCAGTATTGCTGACCCTATAATTTTCCATTTTGCAAATGATCCAATTACAACACAAATTTAAAAATGACTGCAGTGTCAGTCTGAATGGTTTTAGCTTAGGGCTACTTTTGGATTAATGTGACAGTAGTATAAAAGAGCACTTTTGCAGAGCACCAACGTTGTGTGTAACTGTTGGTTCTTACAGTGGGCTCCATGTGTTCTTTGATCATGTGGGTGTGTGTGCTCATGTCACATATGACAAATGCTGGTTTATTCTAACACCTGACATTCACACCTTACTTTTTTGAAGGCCCTGAACCCATTGCCACTAATGCTGGAAAAAAATAATCTCCCCACTTTTGACATGATAAATGACGCTCTGCTATTTGCAATTATAATATGACTTAGGTGTTAAGAAAATGAAAGGGTTCCTCTGGCATATCTTGACCTTTTTTTATCATCTTAAGAATACCTTTGTCAAAAAAGAAGAAAAATTGCATAAAGCACAGTGCTTCCATCAGCATAAATGAGAGTTAGAAAACAAAACTCTAAAATAGCTTGCAGGAAGACAAACCCCTCAACGATTGTGTTTCTAATTTTAGGTGCCTTTTATGTCTAGACTATGCAGTTGGGTTTATGCACCTTTTAAAAGGGACTACTGGAAATAGGTTTAATACCTTTTACTCAAACTATTAACTATGGCTGTAATATGTGCAAGTCTATTGCAGTAAATTTGAAAATGAAATCTGATCAGGCACGTTGGTAGGATTAAAATACATTTTGTAAACGACAAAACCAAAAAAAATTAAATATAATTTTCATTGAAGAGTTGTGATCCCAAAGTAAACCTTTTAGTAAATTAACTGTATAATTAGGGGCTCAAGGATGCTTTATTTATGTCACTGTGCAAATCTTGATTTATCCATGTGACATAGTTTGATTTTGCAATATTTGGGAGAAGTATGGTCTTAGTGCCTCCTTTGGGTTTAAACGTTGCTACAGCAGTTGAATTTTCCTATTAAAACCTTCCAATTAGTAATTTTCCTACTGGTACACGTAAACATAACAGCTCCCTTTTCAGGTAGAAAACCAACTTAGTGAAACACACGACCATGGTGGATAGTCAGGAGTTGAAATTGCAATCAATGATCGATAACCTTTTACCTTTTAGCCAAAATGGTGTATTATTTAAGGTACTTAGATAACTTGATCAAATTATCAAATTCTTCCAGTTTTCTTGTTCTTGCCAGACCCATCCAGTTCATCCCCACTCTTGTTTGTATCACAGTGATGCCCACTTTGGTGACGTGCTTTTACATTGGGTTTAACTTTTTGTGTAAAAAAAAAAATAAAATAAAAAATGTTTTGATTACAGTTTATCTTAAATGCAGATGTCTTTAATAATTTTGTATAAAACAATGTAGTTGCTGTACTTAATTAGCTTTTTTGATATCTGTACTGTACTTGAGTTTCTTTTGCTAAGCTCTTTTTACTTTTACTCACTACATTTGAACAAAGAAATCTGTTATTTTCTCCAAAGTGATTTATTACTTCTATATATTTTGATAACATTACACAAAAGCCTTAACAACCAGAGGGGAAAATAAAAGGCCAAAAAGAATCTGTCCAGCTGGAGCTCAACCACCCCCCCTTTATTAGATTTTAAATCTACATTTTGATATTCAGGTTCCATTTTAATTGTAATGCTTTTTGCAACTGAAAGTTGTATGAATATCAGAGCTCTAAAAGGTAAAATTAATTCATCCTGTCTAAAATTGTGATTTAGAACAAAGCTAGATTAATTCAGCATTTGTTTTATGTTTTTATAAAAGATGAAAATTAACCTCTATTCTGTGTATAGAACTGTTTTTTTTTTAGTATTTTAAGACAAAAAACCATTCATCATTATTAAACAGACTATCATCACATTAACAGAAATAACACCCTGTATGGCTATAATGTGTATCACCATGTAAACAATGTTAAAAAAATAAATACATTTTACTGTTATATTCAAAATTCTGCACACAAATAACAGTGACAAAAAATAAGTACACAAAAAACTCATAAAATAGTTCACAGAAGTCCAACCCCAACATGTTTGGTAAATATTTGATATATATTACGAGAAAATACTCAGGATATGAAACTTTACTGTCATGTATATGAGACAATATTGATTTACTTTCCCCTAAAATAACTCCTCTCACAGACATTATTTACCAACCTGCTTGGAACAAATATGAGTACAACACTAGGGGGAAATCTCTTAATAATGTCCAATCAGCCATCTACTTTTTAAGGTGGCATGTGACTCATTGGTGATATGAAGTCTCAGGTGTGCACAGCAGGTGTGTATGGATTTTTTTGAGATTCTGATTCTTACTTCCTAAAAAATAAAAAAAGGTTAGTTGTTGAAAGAGAAAATCTAAACATCAGATTGAACTCTTGCATTGTTGAATCTCCAAGATTTTTAATAAGAAAAGCTTAAATTTCATGAGCAAACAAAAATCTCAGAAAACGTTTTTTTAGTTAAAAAACAGCTAAGTTAAAAAAAAAATCTGAAACATGGTCACATACTGACCATAAGTTTCATTTGCATTACATCAGTATTCAAACCTTGTGGTGACTTTGTTCTTCAAAGCGTGACATGTTTCATGTGTCCTGAATATAAAACAGTAGTGTTTGCACCTTTGGCAGTGTGTAATTTCCTTGGATTTATTAATACATTTGGAAAGCAGCTTGTTTAATGATGCTGGTTAGATGAGTCATCAAAAAAAAAATAAATAAATAAATAATAATAATAATAATAATGTAAGGTACCTGGTAGAAAAATCTGTGTGATCTAGGTTTCTTTTAGACTGTTGTTGAAAAAAAATCATTTCAATATCAAGACAATACTTCAGGGTGTTACATATAAAAAAGATTTATTAATAACAATATTGTCGCTACACAGTGGGAAGATCTAGTCTGCATATAAAAGTCCAATACCTATGGCAGATATATGTTTTTGTTTTACAGGATATGAGATTAAAACAGATTTATGAGTTTTAAAATTGTATGATATGTGGAAAATCATAGGAAGTGTTGATTGAACCCAAAAGTCATGTACCTGACAAAACTGGAGGTTGAATGAAGATCGGGGAACGACAAAAGTCTCACTTGAGTTGGTGTCACACACTTTTTATCAAAAGTAGTCCTTGTGTTTTAACCATGTTTCTTTAAATATTAAAATAAGCTACAATAATCACAACTAAAAAAAAAAAAAAAACTGCCCATATAAAATGCAGACAAACACACACACTTTTCTTATGCCTGGATGCTAATGTGCTAAAGTTATAGCCTGAAAAGTGAGTTTTTTTTATGATAAATGATGAGTCACTTTGGCAGGTTTTTTTCTGCCGGAAGCTGTTACTTTCTTTCATGTAATGTACAACACAAAAACCATCATTTCAGCATTTTTCAATGTTTGGTATTTTGTTGTGGGCTGGGGGAAGGATGGAAAGGGTGAATAGAGAAGGTGATCTCTACCACGGTTGTGTATTTCTGAGAAACACAGACTTCTATATATTTTTTGCACAGCTTAATCTATTGTTATCCCTGCGTTTAAGATATAAACGTGCTTCCTAAAATCTGAGCAGACAGCAAAACAATACCCAGAAGATTGTTTTTCAGAGGATCAAGTCTATAAAACTATTATAGTTTTTCTTTTTACCTTTTGTTTGTGACAGACTGAAGAGGACACAGTAAATAAGTTTGGTTTGTACTCTAAGAGACTTGTGATGAATTTTAACTACCCAAAGGCTGAACCACCTATGTAATGGGTCAGGCATCACAGCACACCCATACAATACCAGAATTTTTATTCTGCTCTCATAAATAAGTAAAAGACAGCCTTTTACTGCATGTTGAAAATCAAACATCTGACAACAACTACTACAAATCAACATGTGTGGTCGTAAACAGGCCAGTGCATGTCTTCTGTATCAACGAATTGAGGAAAAGCTCTAACTAACTAAACTTAAGCAAAGTCTCAAGCACAAAGAAATAAACAATATATAGCGAAATAATATTGTTTGGTTCATTCATAAAGGCTGCCATTGACAATCTGTCCTTCAATTCTTGGATGTGACAGCTGTGCTAGTTATTAGTATGCTGTGATTTTGATTAAGCATCTGTGTGTCTGAGATTTAACAGGAGCTGATGGCATAGCTTGATTGCAGAATCCAAACAGATTTGGAGCACCTGGTACCAGATCCCTTTTATGTACAGGCTTTCTAGCTGCAAACATTAAGTATATATATTTTTGTACCTTCTTCAAAGTATGGCCTCATTTAATTATTTATTTCATTACTAAGTTATTTTGTGTTAATTATAAACAATAGCATTATGAAGGGTAACAGGAAAATTCTAAATTAGCTTTCAAGTTGTTTTTGTAAGTGTAGGTACTGTTTTCCTTGCTGCAAGTCAGAAGAAAGACGCTTTTATAAAATAAAAGGTTTACATTTAAATTAAAAACTTCCAGTGGAATGAATATAGGTTCAACATACTTTTTATGATGTTTTAGAAAATGTCCACCTCCATATTTTTATGCAAACAATAAAAAAATAGTCTGATTCTAAGTTCAGGGTGAAACCGATCGCTTGGGTGCAGAAAAAAATACCAAAGTAAGAGAAATTCTGCAAGAAATCCTTTAGTAAAAATTGGATTGTAAGGGGGTCACATGATGACAGAATGGCCAATAAGGAAGTAGAGAGACATCTTAGCACATAGATGATTGTCAGTTAATGTTTATCTTGTGGCTGGATTGTTGTGGCAGCCCTCAAATTTGCAGTGTGTAATTTTGAGCACATTTAATAGATATTTATATAAGCAGTATATTTCTTGTCTGTTTAGGGTATGTGCAGTTATATTCGACCGATATCTACAGTCAGTAGTTTGTCAGCTGTGCGCTGCTGTAATGGACAGATGTCTACCTCCAAAAATGGAAGTCCTGTACAATTTTAAATAACAATTTGTAAGGCAACACAGAGCTAAAGAGTTTTATTCCAAAAAAGTTAAAAACCATTCCATCGGACTTTTTTTCCCCAAGTTTGAAGACGCTTCGCTTCGCATCCAGGAAGCTTTTTCATTTCAAAATGTTACACTTAGCACTAAGTTTAAAGCTTTGAAAAGTGCCCCCCCCCCCAAAAAAAAAAATCCTCATTTTGGCTTAGAAAACATGCAAATTGAACCAGAGGAACGGGTCCACCCCTTAGGAATGGGGGTTCTTTGTTTGCCTGCAATACTCAAGAGTTTTAGTTTGATCACAATAAATGATATACTTATGTATAATGTATTATACTTCTCCCAATAAATAATAATTATACACACAGGAGCTTTAAAGTCATGGGGTTTGCTGGTGTAAAGGGGGCCTATATTCAGTGTAAGAATTTGTCTTATTCTCTGTGTCATTAGCCCCATTAAGAATTGCATAATCTGGTTTAATCTGTTGCTCATTGGACTGTATATAACATTTATTTGTCACATGTAATTAGTCTATGTAGAATTGATAGAGTAATGCCATTAGCAGACTGAGAAGACATTATATGATGCTTTAAAGCAATGAGGAAATAATATGAAGGAAGACAAGGACATAAATAAAGAGAGAAACATGAGCATGTAATGAGATGCTAATGAGACAGATAAGTCCTAACACAACCTTGGTCCCCCAGGTGAGTCTCTCTCATTAATTTGTGGGGAGATGGGAAACAGAATGACAGGCGTAAAGACTGCATATTCAAAACAAAGGTGGTCAGAAATTGTGAGAACTGACAGATAAGCAAAGACCTAACTGAACACTTAAGGAAAGGCAAATAAAGAAAAGGGTCTAAAGTCCATAATGGCAGAGATTGAAAACGTATGAGGGTAATCCTGAAGGGTTGTTCAGCTCTTAAAATCAAATCTGATTACATAAGCATTGCCAATATTTGTAGACTGATTTTAGCTAAGATCTTGATAATATAAAGATTCCCTTTAATGAGTCTTAATATTGAACAAACAAGACAAATCATGTATTAGTAAAGATGAATAAAATTATTGATAATAATATAAAGGAAAGATGGAGTACAAATTTTAAACAATAAAGTTTAGAGAGTGCAGTCAGTTTTACAGTTTTCTGAGAATTTGTCCCAGATTAGTGGAGCATAAGAACTACAATCTGCTTCTCTTTGGTTCTAGTTGTGAGTATGCAGAGTAGATTTTAAGCCAGTGGACCTAATCACTCACACAACGACCCAAATTATGGAAACATCAGGAAAAAAAAACATGAGAAATTGGAAAAACACCAAGACCTCAGAAAAGAACCAGAGAGCTTGGAAGGTGAAGGCAACGGTAGGGCCCATGGTCATTGGAGCACTCAGGGTAGTAACCACTGCACTGGAAAATAGCTTCCAAAAGATAAGTGGACAAACATTAGAGATTATAGTCCAGAAATGCACAGATCCAGAGAAAACTAACATACTGCAAAGAACACTCTGGTAGAGGACCTGAGCTGATATGAACGAGCCCCTCCAGGAGCATGACGGGTGGGTGAGAAAGCAGTTTTTTTTTTTATGTCTGTGCATACAGAGAGCGAGATATAGATTGGAAAATGAAACATTTATAAGAATTGCACAATTCATACCATTTGTACTGTTATAAAATCATGTTTAAGGCTCTCTCATAATAATGATCAAAACAATTGCAATCATCTTGATGGTTACACATAATCATGTAGAAGGCCTGTTTTAAGAGGGTATCAGTATCTAGCTTTTATCCATGAATGTATTTCATTTGCCAGGTGGCTTTTATGTCCATGCTTGGTTATCTGGGTCAGGTAAAAATATGTGTCAAAGTATCAGGCACAGGATGGAATCAGGCAGCTCTGTAACTCAAGCTCTGACTTAAAACAGCCCACCTGCAATATAGTGTACATGTTCTGCCCCAAGCTCAGAACCCATGAGCTTGCTTCTGAAGAGATGAAAGCATAAAAGGGGTGTAGGGTTATTTCATTTTTTTTATATTCTCTGCATCTTTTTGGAGACATGTAGAATATTTTTATGTTTTTAAACTATGAACAATTTTGCTCTAAGCATGGTCCTGCAAATATGCCCATACAAAGACACTCATTCATGAATCTTTGATGTAAAAGTGCAATTTAAAATCTTTATTCCACCTAAGAAGAGACTGAATTGGAAATAAGTAGTTCTTAGGAGAAATAAAAAGAAATGAGCGCAATCAGAAATCCATTAAAGATGAGAGTCTGATGATTAAATTCTGTCATTGGCAGGAGTTGGCTGAATAACAGACCAGTCCAGTGTCAAATATTTCTTTAAGTGCTATGTTATTCAACTAAAATTGTGATTTAAATGCAATCAAATATAGAAAGAACAAACCACACAGACTTTCAGCTATAAATGTATAAAATTATTGTTTTAGAGATCCATTGTCACTATAAGAACTGCAGCAGCAAAAATATTGAAGTACTGAAAGCTGGTTTATAGACATAACCTACAATGAGCATGTTAATATGAAGGGTAGAAATCTGATAACTGGGAAAATAGGGTAATTGCTGTATCAGATCTAAAGTGTTTACATGTACCATAAATACATAATACTCAGGAAACCTTTATTTTCATGTTGCAGCCTGCAGTCACATGTTTGATGATTGCTGGAGGCATGTTCAGAACCAAGACTGTGGAGAGAGAGTGGTGCTTAAAGAATTTACGGACGTTCGGTGGAGAGACAGCTTCCGGATGTCTTGGAGAGCATTAATCAGTCTTTTCAAGCTGACCAAGAAGGTTCCGGCAAGGCAGCATTTCATGGTAGATTTGGATTTCTTTCTCATTTCTGTGAGCGAATGAAGAGATTCTAAACCCAGTCTGAGACAGCATCTCAGGAGAGAACCTTGTCAAAAAAACAACAAGGAGAGCCTTCACAAACAATTTAGCCAGTAACTCATGACAACTTTACAGTACGCAAAGCTTTTACTGTCTTAGCTCCCCCATCTGCTCACCGTTTCTCTTTCTTTGGATTTTGGTATTGCAATTTTGAGAAATCTGAGAACAGCAATTACCTGATTTAGCTGATGGGAATTTCCTGTTTCCGTGATCACTTCAGAAATCCCATAACCCCAAAAATTAGAGTGCAGTCAAGTTTTGGTCTGCATGTAACTGAAAACATGGGAAATTTTAACAAGGTTTCCAAAAATACATATTTTAAGAAAACCTTTTAAGTCTAACACTAAATAGCGCTTGATCATAAAAATGAGGGAATGTGGTTTTGAAAATTTTTTTCTCCACAAAATAAAATGCTGTGGAGTGATACTTATATTTCAATATCCTTACATTCTACAAAAAATATGACCCAACACAATGTCTCACATGAGATACTCAGTTCAGTGAGGGAGGATGAACAGTGGAGCCACATATAGAGGAGAAGAACTCCATTCTGCACTTTGAAAGACTTTATGTAAAGAGGTTGAAGTAGACGTTCTGGTCAGACGAAAAAATAATAAATTATAGAGGTTTTCCAGCCGGACAAGGATCTTAATCATACAGCTTCACTGAAATGTTTCCATCAAAGCATATCCATGTGTTAGAATGGACCAGAACCAAAGATCAGAACTAAATAGAGGATAACCTGTGAAAATACCTGAAAATAGATGTCAGCAAATGCTCTGCCTCTGTGTGCAAATGTAAGGGATGGTGCAAAGATAACTCAGTAGGTTCGCAATGCAAGAAAACACACACAGAAAGACCTGCAACTATAAAAGACTGTCTCTTCTGAGTATTGACTGTTGGGGTTGATTTCATACGAGCTACACTTTTGTAAAACTTTTTTAGTAAAGTACAAAAGAAAAGAGAAAATAAATTTCTTTCCCTTCATAATTGTTTGCCCTAAAATAACTGTTGCGAAGGATATAAAGTAGTCTCACCTTAAACTCAGTTTCGATGTTGGCGAGTCTTGCCAGTTCATTGCTGAGCTCAAGGGCTGTTAGGACAGGGTCCTCACTGCTGAGTGACAGGTAGGCTGCACTGGCCAGGCCCTTGTATGCATTCATTCTGGAGCGTGAGTGACTAAAGGAGTCCTTCTTCTGTTTCTCCATACATTCCAAGCATTTGCAGAAGTAGTCATGGGGCCTTTCTATACGCGCCCCCTTCGTCAGAAGTATGTGAACAATTTCATACTCCTGGCAGTGAGCTGCCAAAATGATGGGTGTGATATCATGCGAGAAACGAGTTCCATCCTCGTCATATGCGTAAAAGTCATCATCGCGCATCTCTTGCTCCAGAGGACTCAAAGCCAGACGGAGACCTCCACCAAAAGCAGGATGGCCGAGAATGGCCTCCACTATTCTGACATAACCTTTGGAAATGGCCAAGAGCAGGCCGTCCCCGATCCGAGCCAACCCATCTTTTTTCAGCAGCAGTTCAGTAACTTCCAGGTGTTCATTGCCTACTGCCAGCTGTAAAGCATTCTGGCCCATGTAGTCCACACAATTGAAGTTCAGTGTTTTGGACTCTTCCAGCATTTTGCGCACCACAGGAATGTTTCCATATTCTGCAGCATCCAGAAACCGTTCCTCTTCTGCAGTGAGAGCAGAGCCGCGCTCATTGAACATGTAGGCAGGACCCCGCACTGCCTGGCGACGCCCCTTTTCCCTCAGTGTGGTGTGCCGGCGATGCATGGCTTCTACCCTGGAAGAGGAAAATAAGGTAGAATCAGTTCAAAAACAACTTAATAAGACAGAATCAGTGACCAGATGAAAGAAAATCCTTACAAGTTATAATAAACTGTGAAAGAATTTCACAAAATCTAGTGGTTCATCACTCTATATGTAAACTGAAACACAAATTACCATCTGGATTTTAGAGAAAAGGCCATAAGAGCAACAAACAATCCTTATTAAAAAAATTATAAAATCAAATTGCTACTAAATCTAAACATGGTTAGAGGTTTGGTTGGCATGTATAAAACCATATTGTCAATTCCGTTGGCAGTATTAAGACAATCTAACCCTATCAATCGGTGATACACACTCATTGAGCTTACATCATCATGTGCATTAAAGAATGGCTTTAGTACTATGTCTTACATTGAATTTCTATGTGTCTATTTAGTCATCAAGAGGAAGAATAAATGTCTCTCATACAGGTGCAGTAAATGAAATATACTTTTAGAAAACAAAAGCTTCAGCTAAATTACAAGTTTGTAATTTCAGGCATTTCCTTTTTTCTCTGTACTTTATGGATGTGTGGATGGAAAGCAGGACATTGAAAAAGAAGGCGAAAATGGAAACCTGTGCGTGCTAGATGTATTCACCTGGGGGTTTCTATGGATATGGGGCTGAGAAAAAGAACTGAGCTCACAACGCCAAATCCCATGTGCATGTTTTAGAGACTGTATTTTCTGTGTGTGGTTAAACAATATGAAAGGTCAGCAATGTTTTAATTTTTCATTTACACAATCAGCAGCTCAGGCTGACAATCACTGTAAGAGGGAAACAAATCATTGCTTCTTTTCATTCCTCATACATTGAAGTTGCCAAACTAGCCATGCATAATGTTGACATGGCATACATTATCTGCAACATGCGTGGTTAATTAATAAAAAAAAATGCCTTACGGCAAAGGGTAGTTGTGTACAGCTTTTGAGTTACACGAACCACAAGCAAAACCTGCTGCATTTCAAAGCATTAAGAGGTTTTCTCATAAACAGAAGCACAGCCTGGCTGCCAGCCCATTCGGATAACCTTATAGTCGAGTAATAAATTGCTTTTTCCATCTCTTTTAATCTCTTTTTCCATCCATCTTTGATTGTTTGTGATGTGGTCTTGCAATGTAATTTATTTGCATCATTTTAATGTTGAATTATGACAATTTGAAAAAGAGGAGGCACAGAATGGAGACAGATAGATAGAACCATACTGTTTGTGTGTTTTAAGGGTGGGGAAAAAAGGAATCCTCTCTAAAAGAGGGATTACTTATCTTACTCATAAAACATTGTTCATAATGCACAAGGAAATCTCTAAAATGGGATAATTTTCAAAATTCTTTAAACTACTACGAATAATTATATAGCATAGAAAAAGTAAGAAATTGTTCCTAATGCTTCTAATAATAAACCATTATTTTAAAAGTTAGTTAATGTCCTGCTGTTGAACTGATTAATTATGTTCACAAAACAATATCTGACTTTTCCCAACAACTAGTACAAAACAAATACTTTACATCTCTATGTTAGAGGAACAGACTTAACTTAATAACATAGAAAACCAGTTGGGTTTAGAAACTCTTGTGCTGTTGATTTCTTTACCTATAAAAGCAAAGATTTGAAAACATTTTTTTGAACTACAGTATTTTTGCTCAAAAGCGTAATGTAATATATATAATAACAAAATTGCCATTATATCAAGTGTAAAAAGAAAATTTTTTACTGACTTATGTGTATTAATTGTATGGGTATTTTTGTATTATTTAATAAACTCAAAGTATGTGTCATATAATGGATCTCAATAAGTAAAAATAATCACTTCCAGAGATGAAATTGCAATCACTAGAACATTTTATTAAAAGCCTTTCTGATTAAAGGGGTCTTCACTGCTTTTATAAACTCCAGGTCAGGTTTGGATAACAACACACTTAAATTAGACATATTTAACAAATGATAAAAGTTTTTTTTTTATTTAAATTTTTTTTTACCATTCTTAAAACCAAGTCTTAAATGCCTATTCAAAGGCAATGACTGGTAAAATCCAACACCATTATTTCTGAGGCGGTGCAGGCAAGAACAGCCCAGACCTGCTGTTTGATTCCAGGCACTTTTGGTCCACGAACTATGATCCAGGCTTCGGTTCAGTCTGAAAGAACTTAGATAGGCCATAAACTATGGCCTATCTAAGCATAAGGAAAATGCTACTGATATTCAAACAGTATAATTCTCATCAAGAAATATATGGCCATAACAATAAATGCCTGAAACATGTCCAAAGTTCATCTGCAAATTGGAAGGGAATGCATGAGCAAATCTGACATTTGACATATTGAGGAAAAACCTTAAGGCCGAGGTCTTCAGATTGGGGGCCACAACATGCAAGGGTGTCCTTGCACAGCGTATTCATCACTCGAAAGTCTGGGACTGAAAAAGGTTGAAGACCTAAGGGGCTGCACTGAAAACATCCTGAGTGCAACATTTTTTTTTATAGGGTAAAATTTATGTCAAAGAATTTGAGCATAATAAAAACACAATTGATTTTCACAAAGGCTCTAATTTTAGAGTGAGAACTGATTATATATGAAACCATATGATTGTTTAATATGGACTAAAATATAATGTATGGACCAAGCTATGCTCACCTTTAGTGCTACCCAAAACAATAAAACAGATACTGTATATACTATTCTATAAACTTATGACACTGATTTAGACAAACATAACAGCAATTAAATGTATAAAATCAGATGCATTTAGCAGTTTGCAAATCTAAAAACAATGCTAAGGACATTAGAGTTAATCTTATGAAGGCAAATGTAGCCTGTTAATTTGAAAACAGTTTCAAGCCTCAGCAAAACGAGTGGAAGTTAAACTAATTCCAAATTAGTGTAAAAAAAAAAAAAAAACTTAATTGGGAATAGATGACAAAAAAATAAATAAAAAAATAGTTAATAAAAAGGCTTGAAACAACACACTAATAGAAAACAGATTAAATTGTGGCTCATCTGAGTTTTCACAAATACAGAAGTTTTAGAAGACACATGCTACAGTAAGTGTTTAATGTGAGTGCATCGGCAAGGACTGTAATATATTGCATTCAATCATATTCCTTTAAATCACAATGATGTACTGCATCACTGGCAGAGATAAGGATTACATTGGCAATAATAAAGATAAACAATCTGAATTTGTAATAATACATCTAAACAAAACACCAAACTTGTCATATGAAAATAACTTTGTTTTTGTTTCACAGGCACAATACATCAATAAGGCAGTTGCTAAATCCATCACATAATCTGGGAAAGTTGAAGCTATCTAAGGAAAGCATATGATCTTAAACACCGTAACAGACCAGCTTTAGAATTGGATAAACAATTAATGTAGTAATAAAACATCCATATCATATAAATTGTCAACTTGACAGGAATAGTTTGAGGTTAAGACATCAACTCATAAGTCATATCTATGAGGTTTTATGGACCAGACCATACCGAATTTCTTCTAATACACAGCTTTACACCAGGTGACTATGAACCCATCAGAGCGTTGGCTAGAGCGCTGAGCTAGAGGCTTAGAACAGATCAATATGTGGAAGCACCACAACTTTCTCCAACTGAATAAAAATAAAACTGTGGTAATAATCTTCAAAACAAAGGAAGAGAGATCCAGGTAGCTCACAGCTTCAGCTACTACAGCTAAAAACCACTGATTATAGCTGAAATCTTTAGAGGCATATACTGTAAAGGCAGTTACCAGGTCAGCTTTTTATCATCTGAAGAACATTTCCAGGATGAAAGGATTAAGGTCCAAGAAGGATCCAGAAAAACTCATTCATGCTTTTATCTTTAATAGAATTGACTACTGCAACAGTGTCTTCATAGGTTTGCCTAAAAAGTCCAAACAGCTGCAGCTGATCCAAACGCTGCTGCCCGTGTTCTCACTAGAACTAAAAAAAAGTTGAGCACACACTTCTGAAGTCCTTACACTAAGCTCCCTTTAGCTCAGAGAATAGACTTTCAAATTCTTCTGCTAGTCTATAAATCACTGAATGGATCTACACCTCAATACATAAGAGATTAATTGTCAGTGTATCAACCTCCCAGACCACACAGGTCTTCTTGTTCCAGCCTACTCTGTACAACCAGAACTAGAACCAAACATGGAGAAGCAGCATTTAGCTCCTATGCTCAACCTGTCTGGAACAAACTTTAAGAAGACTGTAAAAGTGCTGAAGCCCAAGTACTTTTAAGTCAAATTTAAAAACCTATTTTTTTAGAGCTGCCTTTGAATGTTGAAGTTAAACTGTTAAGTGAGGTTTTATTAGTTTAAGATTGTGATCCAACTATTGGTTTGTTTTACTAACTGATATTATAATGCCTTTATCTTCATTTGTTTTTATTTGCTTTTAGTTTTTTATTTTATTGTTTAATTCATGTAAAGCATGTTTAATTTGTCCATGTACTGAACTGTGCTGAACAAATAAACCTGCATTGCCTTCAAAATTCTACAAGCATGAGCTCTTTCATGATTAGTTTGATCAGTCATCCTGTCTCCTGTTTCATTATATAAAGAAAGGAAAGTTGTTTTTTTTTCTGAGGTTTTATTTTTTCTTTATTAACAGGACAACAACAAAGAATCAGATTATTGTTTTATATTCTGCTAGAGTCGAAAGTTCTATTGGTTTTTACTTTTATTTTCCCTTTATTGTCCATGCTTATGCATCTCTTTCAGTCAACATTTCTGCCACCTTTATTTAATGACATCCATCACAAACAAAACTAGCACCAGGTCATTTATTATCAGAAGATGCAATAACTTATGCAAGGTAATTTACAGTAATGGGAGAGAAGACAAGGAAATGGATTTGAATTAAAGTCAAATCAATAGTTTTTAGATCAAAAGGTAGCATTTACATTTTAATGTCTTGGTAATGAAAAACAGACCAGACCACCTTGTCTTGCTTGCCTCTTGGACAACACCCATGCACAACCACACTGAGCTGACAGGCGTTAGTGAGAGCCAACATGCTTCTTTTACATGTTGGACCTTTCAAGTTGAACAGTGCTGTATCAAAGAGGCAGACCAGGGAAGATCAAAGAGCCAATACAGAGGCCTGTCATTCATGTCTTCTGATAGTAGCGGCTTTAAGCTGCTAATTCTTTGTTACCTGCCATTGTGCATGTTCCTCTAGATCTATGTGGATCACCTCCACTTGTGAGCAGCAGACTGCTTAATATTTTAAGCTTGTATCTCACAGCTTAGCAAAAACAGAGACTCTATGCTCAACTAAAGGCCAGTCAACGCATACAAAATGGTCACAATGTCCTACACCGAAACCTGACAGTATCGTCTCTAATTTTTCCCAGGTAGTACACAAGAGAAACACCTTTAGCACATTGTGAGTTTAATAAATCAAAGTGGGACTGACCAAGGACATTTACACAATATTAGCAGATCAGGTTTAAATAATATTCAGTGAACCTGGTTAAAGCCTCTTCAGGTAAAAACTAAATCAAAGCTATTGTGAGATCCATTATGATGTAGAAGAGAGTACAGGGCTTTTCTGCTCACATGCTTAGTGTAACTGACTCAGTGGAAATCCTGATCTACACTCACCGAGCCTGACATGTACCTGTTGACATAGGGATTTGGCGTTGGTCACTAAATTCTATTTATTTAGATTTATGCATTTTCAAATGTATTTCCAGTATCCACAAAGTTAATAAATTCACAGACCAGTCCCGTTAACTCCTCGGAGGGCCTCGACATTTCTTTCTGGACAATGCATTAAACTGAGAGTGAGAGAGAAACAAACAGACAGGACTCACGATTGCCGGGTATCTGAGCTGAACTCGGTGTCTATGTGCTCAGCAGAGAAGTGGTTCCCGAGGTCCGGCAGCTCCGGAGCCCTGTGGAGTCGCTGTCCGCGGTGCTGAAGGCGCTCAGTGCTCTCCGCGCCTCGTCCTCTCCACATGGGAAGCTGGACATCGTGCTCTTCATATTCGACATCTGTCCGCAAATCCGGCCGTGACCGTGATATACCACCGGTGTCCAAGTCAGGTTGGCGGAACTTTGGCGGCGTGAAATGTGTGGAACCCCCGAGATCCCGGCCCCCTGGAGAGGTGTGCAGACACTCCGAGGAGGAGAGAAAAGGCGGGTCCGATTCCCCAAGCAGCGGAGAAGCTGAGGAGAAGAGGTCCAGGGGCCGCGAAGAAGGAGACTCTCGGGGAAGACCAACAGATAGAGGCGGCGAGGAAGACTCCGACAGATGTGCTCTCCTGCCGCCTTCGCTTTCCTCTCCCGCGTCAGACATGGGGGGACCTCGGCAGCACCATGCACTTTAAATCATTTTAGCAAAGTAGCACATATTTTCCCTGTGTTTTACGAAGTTTCAGTTGAGCAAGTTGCTTCAGAACAAGGCGGCAGCAGGGAGCAAAAACCTCCACCTTCACTCAAAGGTCCGCGCGCACTAATTAGAAAGAGCGCGCGCAGGAAGCCAGACCCATTACAAAATGGAAGGTGAGGAACAAGTGAAACCTAAACAAATATCACTTAACTATGTTAAACTGTCAACAGAAACTATCATGAATGATCTACTGCATAAAATATTACTTAGCTTTCAGCAGCTGTGAAAGAATAAACAGATAAAAGATACAGAAATAACATAAAAAAAACCACACACAGTTAAAGTTGTTATTTAATCAATTTGCCTCCAAAATATATCAACAAATATAATCTCAGAGGCTGAATAGGGTCCTAGCCAGAATGAGCTTTGACACACTATAGAACCACTTGCTGATGGGGTTTTTATACTGTCACAACAGCACCAATATGTGCAGAATGATGATTTGCATATTCCGGATGCATCAGATAGGAAAACCCTTCCCTTTTCTGAAAGAATGAGTTTTGACTAGTACCCCATGTCATGTGATATACTTAAAAAAAATCTCATTACTCACCTGTGTTGTTCATTTAGCCTACTTTTGTAGGGGGGAAAAAACATCCTGAAACCTTTTAGGTCTCATTAGCACAGCACTGTTCTCACACTATTTTAACTGAAAACACTAAAGCCATCCATTTTTGATTAGTAAGCACTCAAAAATCTCTGTTTAATCTGAAAGTTGCTTTCAACACAGCAGACGTGTATTTGGTCTCAAATGTGCAGACAAACTGTACATCAAAAGTAATTTTTATTAAAATTAAAAAAGATAATAATCCCTTTTTATGTGTGTGTTTGAGTGTCTATGCATATTAGTGTGTGTGTTTGGTCCTCTAATTAGAGGCACAGACCCATTAGTCACGATGGAGACTTCCTGCACCCACACACAGACAATAACCAGTTCTGCCCCAGCTCTTTGATCCGCTATTATGTGTATGCACCGGACGCATCAACTCGCAGCACCTGTTTTCATTTGTGATTACATGTGGGAAGAAAATCATTCACAAAACTCCCTGAAGTCTGGGGACTTTTCAGCAAAAGAAAGCTTCCTACCTGTAATAAAAAAAAATGCTGTATTGAAGGAGTAATTTATCTTCTAAGCATCAAAACACAAACTAAATGTATGCTTTAAAGGCACAAGAAAAAACTTTTAAGGTATGAATTGTCTCTGATTATTATTTTCCTATAGTCCATCATTTACAAAGCTCCAATGGGAGGTTTCAAACTGTTCAACCAACTGACACATTTCTTTCAATAAAATGCTTTAAGAAATGGTTGCCATGCATACAAGTTTCATCTCTACAAGAGGATAGATATGGGAGTATTAATAACTATGTTTTAGTCCCATTTTTATGATTTTTACATCATAATCCTATATAAAAAAGGGAGCAGCTACACTGGATAGCATTAAAAGAAGATGGAAAAATAATAATGCTGCTTAACTTTTAGCCATATTTTTAGGATTTGTGTTTAATGTGAGGAAACACTTATCAGCTTTTTAAAGAAACAAAATCAAAGCCCATAAGGTCAACGAAAAAATACTGAAGTTAATCAGCTTTTTGGCGTGTGAGCATTATCTACATTGGAAAAAAAATCCTATTGAATCTAACATCACATATGGTTTTCTGTTATTAAGTAAAACATTAGTACATGTGTATCAACATACTATAAAGACATTGATTTTTACATTAGACTACAATATTTTATGCGTTTGAATAAGACATTAGTTCATGGATAAACACCAACCAGTTAATTAATTAATACTCACTTCATGTGGCACTTTTTGTCTATATAAAAAAAAATTTTCAGAAGGTAAAACAATGGTGCTACATTAAAAATTGCTCTTCTAAATATAACAGTTTCTACAGAAATCACAGGAAAACTCGTTGGCTTACAAAATAATCCATTTTGGTATTGATTTACATAACTCTGAATACTTTCAGCAGCAATTTTCTCAGAATGTTAGGTTAGGTTTCATTTTATTGTCAGTGTAAGTTATGTTTCTTTGTTTTAGGTTTAAAAAAAAACGTCTATTGCAGCACATTCCTAGCAGACCTGATAAGCAGCAGCTGGCTCCTTTGTAGGAGAACATTCATCATTGGACTGAAGTAAGCAAGTCAGTCCAAAACTATACTGGCTGAAAACAACGCATGGTTTTGAAAAGAAATAGTAAAAAAAATATTTATTTAGACCACTTGACTCTGAAACATGAAAAGAACCATCATAATTCTAGGGGAACTGCTGAGAGCAACAGTTCATTTAGGAAAATCTGTTGATGTCAGTGGGGGAAGTATCTGATATGAGGATGATTTTGATTACCAAAGACCATGAAGCAAGCCAGAGTGAATGTGAGGATGCATGGAGCTTAGTACAGGAGAAGGACTTACCTCTCTTTATAAAATAATATTTTATACTGAGAGGCTTCTTAGGCTATACTGAGAGAAATCTGCTTCCTGGTATGTTGAAGAACCAATAGTTTGCATCCAATAATTTAATTAATCGGTGTTAGTTTTGGGGAATATATAAGAATTATGCTCCAATTTGCAGTAACCGATCTGTCATCATATTTCAATTTAACAAACTGCATTTTCTCTATGATCTTTTCCTGTTTAATGCAATTTAAATTGCTGATTTTGACCTGAACGGCTTCCAACAGACAGACGTGGAGCAATTTCCCCATTTTCACAGCGAAGACGTATGTGGACAGTGATGTGCGGAGGAGGAGCGGTGGATGTGAAACAGTTCCCATTGAAAACATGACTGTGCAAGTGCTCAGAGGATGTGAAATCTGGGGATAGGGGCCAAGCTCCTGAACAGCAACCCCAAACTTTCACCCCCCCACCAAGTTTTACACTTGGCACATTGCCATCAGGCAAGTATTGTTCTTTTGAGAGCTTTGAACCCAGAAATTCATCACTCCAAAGAATGCAGGCTTGTAGAATGCAGCAGAAACTGATGACCTCTTCGCACTATGAACTTGAGCACCACTGACCTCCTTCAGTCTACGTAGCCTACCACATTGTGGATGAGTTGCTGTCATTCCCAAACATTTCAGTTTTCTCATAATGCAGCTGACAGTTGACTGAAATATTTAGGAGTGATTAAATTTCAACACTGGATTAGTTGAACAGGTGGCATCCTATCACAGTTCCACTCTGGAATTCACTGAGCTCCTGAGAGCGATCCATTCCTTCACAAATGTTTGTAGCAACAGTCCGCATGCCTACTGTAGGTGCTTAATTTTATACATCTGTGGCCACTGAACTGATTGGAACACCTGATTCCAATAATATGGATGGGTGAGCAAACACTTTGGCAATATATCATATTTTGCATAGAAGAAAGGCCCCTTTTACTTTTTGAGAGAAAAAAAAAATCCTTGCAGCTGTTGTTGCAGAAAAAGGTGAATAAAAAAAAAAATGTAAATATACACTCAGTGTATTCAAAATGATAAAGTCTAAGTCTAAATTAACATTTACTTCTGTGCAGTTTTGTGTTGTTCTGCCACATTATGCAGTGGCAGAAATACATAGATATATGGGGTTCTAATGTGAAAATGAATGCTGATAGTTTCAAGAGGGATGTTTTTTATAGGCATTGTAATGGCTAAAGCAACACTGTTCTGCTATTAATAATCTACTTATTCCTTTTGGTCTTGTAAAATGTTGAAAACAATTATACCTCTTTTTATTACTCAGAGGGCTAGATCAGGTTTTGGATAATGTGAAGACTCTGTATGGGTCTAAAATTTGGCCTCAGCCCAATCACTTGGTCACAGTAGGGGAGTTTTATTGTCTGTCACAAGCAGAGCTCCAGCTGTGAAATCACTGATTGGGTGATAATAGAAAAGCAACAAGCTTGTGCAGAACATTTGTCTGCCCTGTCTGATTCGGTGTGAAATTGTCATTATAAAGACATTTTTAGATGAAGAGTCCTACTTGCAAAGATTTATTACTCAGGAACATTGCAGTGAATCCTATTTAAGTTATAATTCCCCATTACTTTGGTCAAAAATAGGACAGGCACTAGATATAATTATTTGCAAAATTTGCTTCTCAGCAGGATAAAAAGCCCTTCTCAAATTTGATATCCACATGCAAAGTTTTTCTAAAATATGTTATCATTTTTCTACGTTCAACTTTCCTAATTTAAGTGAGCAGAGTAAAAGTTAGCTGATATCCTCATAAATGCAACACACACACTGCTTTCAGTTGATACCACCCGTTATCAGCTAGCTGCCTGGAGCAACAGAAGGAAAACCAAGCAGACGCACCCCTTAGACGCTTAAGTCAGTTCAGTCTGTTGGATAGGCTGTCAGGGGTTTTTCCTTTCTCTTGTGTCCCTGGATAGCAGATTGTCAGATGCAAGCAATCTCTAACAGTTGAACAAAGCTTCCAAGTCCTGGCTCTACATTTGACAGTTGTTTTGCCTCTACAATCCTTGGACTTCCTCACAGAAAGTCCAGCAGTAACAACTGCCAGATCATTAAGACTGGACCTGTGTGTGGTTGGCTTGAAGGAAGAGAGCTGCAGTGTTGCAGTTCCAGCACACTCATTTTTTTTAAAATCTTTTTCTTGTTTTTTTATTTTTTAACAAATTCATCAACCAGATATCCAACCATTTCATGTTCAAACATGTGTCTATGTTTGGCTTCAACTAAAACATGCTTGAAATTGTGTGAAAATGTCCTATTTTTTATCCTTGTAAGAAAAAAGGGCTGTATTTAATTTTCAGTTTCATTTTTTTTCTCATATTGGTCAAATATCATTTTAAGGACAA